TCACAGTATAGGTGTGTTGTGTGGACTGTGTGTGTGTGTGTGTGTGTGTGTGTGTGTGTGTGTGTGTGTGTGTGTGTGTTGGGGGGATGTCGTAGCCTGATCCTGTAATAGGAGGAGGAACACCAACCAGTAAGTGAAAGGGGTGTAGTTATTTCTTTTTGGACCTCGGAAGGCTCTCCATGTTCTCCTTTCTGTGGTGTAATGCTTCCTGCATTTGCTAGCACTGGTCCACTTGAGTCTGGTGGCTCCTTCCCCATTTCCCTTTGTTCCTCCATCTCATCCCTGCCTGGCCCCAGTGATGGTGAATTCTGAAAATGGGCATATGTGAAGGTGTCCAGTTCTCACTGCTGGACCAGGCAAATGCAGTGGGGTTGTTGGGGAGTACAGGTGTAGCCCTGTGGAGGGAGTCGAGAAGGAGGCTCTCCTGCTGCATGCCAGATTGCTGTGCTATGCGCTCTCTGGATGGGGTGGGGGCAGGGGCTTGGTCCAGCTGAGGGACTGGCATACACTATATCATACACTGTATAGTCTCTTCCTGCTTTCTGAGTGGAGAGCCTGACCCTGCTGCTCTGGCTGGCCTAACTAGGTTGTCTCCCCCACTTCTGCCTGGGGAGCGGCTCCAGAGTCCCCTTCACAGCCAGGCCACTGAGGAAGGGCCTCCACAGGCCCCTGAGGGGCAGCCTGAGAAAAGGGAAGCAGAGGAGCCTGGGGAGGATTTTGTAGCCAGCTCCACCCAGCTGATGCCCCTCCAGAGGTAAGGATGAGGAAGAGTCCTTGGGGAATGGCCCCTCCGTATGTCACTGTGATGCTGTGGGGTAGTGGGTCTGGAGAGGGAGACCAGAGCTGGTGTGGGCAGCAGCTGAAGCAGCAGGGCTGGGGCTGAGAATTCCTTGTCCTCTGTCTATAGCTGATTAGGGTAGCTGAACTGACTAGAGGACCTTAGGAACTCTTAAATGAGAGTGTGCCTCTTTTGTCCCAGGTGCCTCCTGCCAGAGCAGACTCTGCTGTTCCTGCTAGGGGACCCTTTCTCTCAGTCCCTGTCCCACTAGCTGCTTCCCTGCCAGGTGTCAGCCTATGTCTAGTCTAGCACAAACTTACCCAGAGCACTGGCTAACCCCAGAGAGTGAGTGATGCAGGGCCCCTGAAGTACACAAATATGAAGTGTTTGCATGTGTGCATGCCACATAACCACCACTCAGGTCAGACAGAATGTTTCCATTCCTTGAGAAGTTTTCCTTCGGCCTACCTCAGTGCCCCCCAACCCACCCAGTTACCGCCGTCCTGGAAGCCAGCTGGGAGAATCTTCCTGCCTCAGCCTGGTCCAGCATCCAGGGTGTATTTGCTAGTGCCTCTGTTCCCCTGGCAAGAAGAAGATGCTGGTCTTAGGATTCATAGAGTTGGCATGAGCCACAGGGGAAGCTGAGCTGTAGCAATGTTCAGTCAGCAGCATCCACTGAACACTTGCTGTGTGCAGAGCTTCTGGGGTGATAGAATCATGCCTCTTCCTTGCTAGTGGTAATATCTGGGCTTCACTGCAAATGACTGAGAAGTGCTGGGAAAGGGAGGAAGGAGGTTGGAGACTGAGGTAAGGAAGCTTCCCTGGGGCTAGCCCTCTGTCTCCATCACAGCTCTTTGACCCTGAATGGGTTGTAAGTTGAGCCTCTCGCCTTCCTACTGGCTTTAACACAGTTGCTTCTTTATTGCTCACGAGGGAGCAGGCACCAAGCCCACCTGCTGCCCATGAGAGGGTTGAGGAGCAGCACTCCCGGGCAGAGGAGGAGCTGGGCGTTGGGCAGCAACAGGCTGAGGAGGCCAAGGAGCCCAAGAAGCCCGAGGAGAAGGTGGTCAGCCCCACCTCACCAGTCTCTCCAGAGGTGTAAGGGCCAGTTTTATGTGTCTGTCCTGTCCTGTAGTGTATGGACTGCTTGAGTGCCCATTCTCCCTTGGATGGTGGGGAGGACATGTTCTGGCTCTGGCCCAGGAAATGGAGTGAAGGGGGAGGATTAGGGCATCCTTGCTGTACAGTTTTGAGAGCCCCACCCAACTGTCAATGATCCTTGCCTGGTGTTAGCTCAGGTCCTAGAAGCTTCTGGTCAGGACAGAAGCAGTAGTGCCCCCACTTTAGAATGCTCCTGGGGTACCACCTCTCCTTTTCTGCCCCAGGTTGCTTTCCATCATGTATCTCTGAGCTACTTGGTGGCCAGCCAGAAATGATCACAACCCCTTGATCCCCCCACTCCTCCCACCTCTCCTTTGCCACTCGTGGCTGGAAATGGGGTCTTACTGAGGCTGATACCAGAACGGTTGGCCTAGAGAAACCAGACCCATGTCTTCTTCTAGAATCTTCAGTTTCCCAGTTGTCTCTTAGATCTTTCAAGCATTGTTCATTGCCTTAGACCTAAGCAAGGTGTTCAAGATAACCGAGTCTTTAAACCCAGGAGGAAGGAAACAGCCTCATTTGCTTGCATGCCAGGTGTGCAAACGGGTTTACTGGTGTGTGCAGCCTGGGCACGTGTGGTCTCATTCCCATCTTCCCGCAGCATCTGTCCCTGGGGCTCCACATAGCTATGCAGCCCACAAGGGAGACAGGCATTAAAATGTACCATTGCTGGGAAAAAAGATGTTTTCTGCCAAGGTTGGAAATGAGTTGGAGGGTTGATGAGGCGGAGCGCTGTGTGGGAGAGGCTCTTTGGAGGGCAGTATCCTCAGAGTGGTCGCAGCCATGTTGCTTATGTCTGCATCAGTTGAACTGTGTCAGGGGACTCAGAGGAAGCCAGGATCCAGGAGGGAGGGGTTCGAGTTGGGAACAGAGAATTGACAGCATGGCTCAGAGTTGTTTCTTGTCTGAGTTCTGACTCTAGGAAAGGAGGGTAGGAAGGACAGGCCTTGATGGCATTTCGGAGATGTCGGTAGCCTCCTCTGTCCTTTCTCTAGTCTCCAGGGGCTACAGTGGGATTCTTCAGCCCTGTTCTCTTCTTTCCTGACTTGGTCCCTCCTGCTGCCTTCCATGCCATGGTTCTGAGCTGGAGGGAGGTGCGTTCAGAGTTCTTAGCAGGGCAGGGCTGCTCTCTTCTTTGACCCAAGTGGTTCTCTGAATTGCATCCGGCTCACTTGTTCCTGCTGGGGTTGATTGAGCCATGGCCAGCCTGCATTGTCTGAGCACTGTGCAAGAACAGTGTTTCTTTACTGAGACCAATTTCTAATGAAGGCTTAGGGACCTGGGATTGCACATGCCTCCTCACCTTTCAGAAAGTGAAATGCTTTATCTGCTTATACTTTCACGGTTCCAAATGGTCACTGGCATTTCAAGCAAAATAACAAGTTCCCATGACTCTATAGACACCTGGTAAACCAATGCCCTTCTCCCTTTCTTCCCATTTCCCTATGTATGCAGGTTAGCCTGGAGTTTCTTATCCATTTCCCAAGGCTGAGTAGATGAAAACCTTCCACTGTATTTGGCTCCTTTGGTGGCAAGGGAGGGGACTTTGTAACCTCTTCTGGGGCTCATCTACATTGCTTTGGCCTCTGCTCAGTGTGGGAGGCAGAGAAGAGTCTTTGGGACCTGTTTCTGAATTGCTGGCATGAGCCTTAAGTAGCAGGTAGAGCTCTAGGGGGGACTTGGAGATAGGACCATGAGCCATTCCAGAAGAGACTCCTTGAGGGACAGAGCTACACTCTCTCTACTCTGCCAGCTCTTGAGGCACAGCCTCTCAGGTCTATTGTGGCCTGCCCCTCTCCTAGGATTCATGGGCATTATTCAGCCTCAGCGGGGTTTGTCCCATAGAATAGATGCCAGCCCTTGTGAGGCCTGATTTGCATCTATGACTCCTGTCTGTGGGCTCTCCATTTTGTATGTGATATAGATGATGTTCGGTAGCTGTGTGGATCCTGGTGGTTATTAGCACCTCAGTGATAAGTTGCCCCCTCTTCTGTGCAGGCAATCCACAGAGCCTGTGGCTCCCCAAAATGGGCTTTCAGAGGCTGTATTGAAGGCCATGGAAGAGGAAGCGAACAAAGAGCTGGAGGACCAGAGGAGGCTGCTGGAATTGCAGCAAGAGAAGAAACAGCAGCTGCAGGAGAGGCTGTGGCGAGAGGAGGAAGAGGAGGTGCAGCGGCTTTACCAGCAGAAGGAGAAGTTGCTCAGGTCCTGCTCCTCCCTGTAGAGGGGAGTGAGGCATGAGGGACACCTTTTCCCTTCCCTGGGATGCCCATAGCCCGGCTGCTCTAGAAACCTTACCTAGTAACCTGAACCTCTCTGATTACCCCAGGAAAGTGTCTCTGGTCTGGCACCTTTTGTGATAAGGGAGATTGGAGATGTTGTCCTTTAACCAGCCTCTTTCTGTGCTAGAATCAAAGCTGAGTTCTGTTAGTTCAGAAAGAGGGTGAGTGGACATCAATAAGGTAATAAGCAACAGTCCAAGGACTGTAAAAAAGTGTTACTGTAGTTTGTTTACTTCCAAATTTAATTAAGTGCCAAATCTTGTCCTTTAGACAGAACATTCAAGAGTAATGGAGAATTATTATTTTTCTATCATAGATGGCACATTTATACTTAATTTGGAGAAAAGAAAACAGAAAACCAATACCTGAATAGTGAGAGGGTCAGATGTGCTGTCCATTTGCCCAATACAGGCTTTCTGACTCAGGTCTGCCTTCTTGGGTCACTGAAGAACAGCATCCTCCTTCCAGCTGACTGATAATCAAGGAAGGGGCCCACCCAAGCAGCTTACCTTAAGATGCCCCTGTTAGAAGAAATCTTGGCAGTGTCTCCAGAACCCCTAGAGCATCTCCTAAGAGCTCTCTAAATTTGTGGTGGACAGTGACGGGCCTGAACTCAGGGCCCAGAACATGGCAATTGTTCCATAAATGGCAGTTCTTGCTTTGATTTTAGGTTGAACTCAGTACAGTTTCAGTTGGTTGTGACTAAGTGATTTTTCTGTGGGTCAGGGTCTTGTAGTTCATCTCGAGAACCCGGTTTCTGCTTATACCCACGCTTTCCTGAGGGGTGGGTCCTCCTCTTCTCTGCTGAAAGAGAGCTTGGCTATCTCCAAACTCCTTGCCAGTGCCAGTATTCACTGTTGCCATATATACTTTTTTTTTTTTTCTGTTTTTTTTTTGAGGCAGGGTCTCCCTGTAGTCCTAGCAGACCGTGGAACTCACCATATAGACCACATTGGTCTTTATCTCACAGAGATCTGCCTGCCTCTGCCTCCCCAGTGCTGGGATTAAAGGCGTGTGCCACCATGCCAGGCTGCCATGTGTAAATTTTGCTGTGGGAAAAAGACAGAGGGTTTCTGGGGAGTCTAAAAGGAAGGGTTTTTTTCTTCACTTAGAAGTCTCATTATAGAGGAAACTTGAACTAAGAAATAATCCTAAATTAGTTTTGGCTCTAGAAATTCACTACAGAGCTTTTCTTCTGAATCATGTTTTTCTTAGGGTTGAGTTTCCTAAGTGCCCAGTACATATCCCCTAGGCTGTGGAGTCTGGGTGACAGTTACCTAAAAAGAATGTGGTTTGTGTAAGCAGAGGTGAAATTATTGCTGTCATTGGTCAGATAAAATCCCTTTCATGGATATTTAGGACTTGCCCACAGTTTGGGTCTAGATGATACTGCTCAAACCCAATCCATTGATTTAATACCACTTTATGTCAGTTATAATATTCAGTGCTTGGGATATGAAAGATTTAAATACAGGATTATTAGCCAGGTGTGGTGATGCATGCCTCTAATCCCAAACACCTGGGAGGTAGTGGCAGTGGCATCAGGGCTTAAGGCCACTCTTGGCTACATTGCCAGTTTGAAGGCATCGTGGGCTACATGAGACCCTGGTCCTCCCCTTCCAAAAGAAAACAGAATTCTTGCTCTAAAGAAACTCCAGGTCTTTCAAGAAAAGCAGATAGAAAAGATTAATTGTGAGGCACCATGATATATGACACAGTACTGTGTGCTAAGAAAGGCCCACGTGTATATTGTGAGGGGAAAGGCGAGTTGATAAACTTGGAGGGAATTGGAAAGGCTTCTCAGAGAGGATGGAGCAGGGTATTGAGCAGTAAATATCGTTTTGTCGGAGAGAAAAATGGAATACTGTAGTCGGGTATGGTGGCTCACACCTTTAGTCCCAGCACTTGGGAGGCAGAGGCAGTTGGATCTTTGTGAGTTCGAGGCCAACCTGGTCTACATAGCAAGTTCCAGGCCAACTGGGGCTACAGGGAGACCCTGTCTGAAAAAGACAAAAAACAAAGAAGAAGAAGAAGAAGAAAAAGAAAATGGAATTCTAGTTAGAAGAACCAGCATGAACAATGGCCAAGGGGCAACAAGGAAAGGGTGTGTTGAGATTTGGAGCTGGTGATACATCAGATGTGCCTAGGATAGAATCTAGAGACTGGGGAGTGGAGGATGTGGGTTCAGAGATAAGTTGGAGTGGTTGTAACTTTCCTTGAATAAAGACCATGTCCTGGAGGAGAACCTGTAGGCAAAGGGGGGCCTGGGACCAAGCAGCCTGCAATCTGATTTCTGTGGTCGTCCCCATGATAAGAAGGCGGCATGTATGAAAGGCTGCACTTAGACTCATTTCTTGGACTAAGGGTGGTTCACAGGCAGGCTGTGAGGCTCTTGGAGGCTGAGTGGCATGGGTTCTGGATAGAGCAGGAAAGACCTCTGTGGTCTCTCTTATCAACCATCAATCAACTTCTCCTTTCCTGCGCAGTCTCCGGAAGGCTCAGCTGCAGAGAGCTGCTGAGGAAGAGGAGAAGGAAGAGGAGACTCGGATGAGAGAGGAAGAAAGCCGAAGGCTATCCCTGCTCCGAGCTCAGCTGCAGTCCAGCACAGAAGCATATGAGAAAAAAATCAGGTAAGCACACACTGGGAGCTGCCCAGTCTGAGGAGATGACCCAAGTGAACAGACCCATCCCTATCCCATTCTGTCTGCCAGAGCTGAGCAAGAGGCTGCCCTGCAGAGGCTTGAAGAAGAGGCAGAGTCCTTCCAGAGGGCTGAAAAAGCCAGCTTGGAACAGAAAAGCAGGTGGGCGCTGCAGCAGCTGAGGGAGAAGCTGGAGGCTGAGGAGAAGCGTGCGCAGGCTGCCCTGAGGGCTGAGAAGGAGGCTGAGAAGGAGGCACTTCTGCAGCAGCTGAGGGAGCAGCTGGAAAGGGAGAAGAAAGAAGTGAGTGAACCAAACAGGCATTGCTCCCCTCCAAGCCCCAACACAGAGTGCAGAGGATGAGGAGGGACTAGCTTCAAGTGGGGGTGCAGGGAGGGAAGCCAAGCCACTGGGAGATGGGAAGCCCATCTTTGTGGAACCTGCTAGGCTCAGGGCACATGCTGGCCCTGGTCTCTGAGGCAGAAGGTCAGGGAAATATGTGGATTTGAGAGGGTTTCGCTATTAAAGAGCTTTATCCAGACCAGAGGACTTGCACTCTGTCCCTGCTCGGCAGATGGTTTCAGTGGCTTCTTTTCCTTTTCTCTTCTGCTGTGGAATAAGAGGCTAGCAACCTTGGAAGCGGTTTTTTTTGTCTTCACCTTTCTCCTTCCAGCCTCATGGCAACCTCTAAGTTAGGTGCGAGAGTAACAGGCCACACAGAACTTGTCTTTTGGTGAGGAGAGAGACCTTTGGCTGTTAGGCACAGAAAGACTGCAGCCAGATCAGGTGCTTGGAGAACCTGCTGTAACCTCCATCTACCCCGGCTTGGCTCTTATCCACAGCTGTGAGCTCAGAGTTAGGGAATGGGAGCGGTGACCTGAGGCCTACTCCGAGGCCCATCTACACTGGTCTCATTCCATCCCTCTGCTAGCTCCAGATTTTAGGGACTGGGTTATTTTAGAACAAAGGTGTGCCTGTAATTCCCTATGGTCTCTTATCTCCAGGGCATGGAATGGTCTTCCTGGTCCTGCCTTCCCCTTGGTCAGCATCTGGCAAGTGTCCCTGCTCTGTTTCTCCACAGGCAGTAACAGGGCTGGAGAAGGAACACAGTGCTGAGCTGAAGCGGCTCTGTTCCTCACTAGAGGCCAAGCACCAGGAGGTGAGATGAGGCTGGCCTGGCCTGAGGGAGCAGAGCCTGGGCCCTTAGACCTCTTCATCCTGGGTGACAAAAGAGCTCAGCCCTACCCTTGGCCAATGGGGGTGAGCCCCCCTCTCTCCTTGGGCCCCTGGGATGGGCAATGAATCCCTAGAGTGAGTTCCCATATGGTAGCTCCATTTCTCCTGAGAGTCACACTCCATTGTGTGTACTGGTGCCTCCTTAGGCAGTTTCCAGCCTCCAGAGGAAGATAGAGGGAGCTCAACAGAAAGAGGAGGCCAAGCTGCAGGAGGGTCTTGGGTGGGCAGAGCAGAGAGCTCACCAGAAGGTTCATCAGGTGATTGAGTATGAGCAAGAGGTAAGTGCTGGTCTGTGTCAGCTCGTTAAGGTCTGCTGGGCCATCTAGCCCAAGTGGCCTCCACTCCTTCAGGGTCAGGTTCTTTGATACCTCTAGACTCCATATGCCTGTGTTAGTGGTATGGCTGTATACATGTATGTCTTGGTGTGTCTCTCTGTCTCTGTCTCTGTCTCTCTCATGTATCTGTTTTGTGGTGTGTTGGGGGACACTTCATGTATAAGATGTTCAGCTGCCCCAGGTGCTGTCTATTCTCAGTCCTGCAAGCTGCATCCCTGCCGTTCCCTCTACAGCTCAGCAGCCTCCTTCGAGATAAGCGCCAGGAGGTGGAGAGGGAGCATGAGAGGAAGATGGACAAGATGAAGGAGGAGCACTGGCAAGTGATGGCCGAGGCCAGAGAGCGATATGAAGCCGAGGTAGCTTGACCATCTCTCTGGCAGGCACCCTCCCTGGTGGGCATACACATAACATATAGGCATGCCACTGGGGTCCTTCCCAGCTGGCTGCAGGGCAGGAGGAAAGGCTGAACTATGATCAGGGTTGTGGGAGACTTCCTTCCCTGTGCCCTGCAATAGCAAAGTTGTTGTTTGTTGTTTTCTGAAGCATACGAAGCACCCTGTTCCCAATGAGGGGTGTTTGCTCCTCACAGTCAGCTGCACTTTAAAAAAAATAATTTTATTGAGAATTTCATACAGGGATATAAGCATATAAGGTGTTTTGATCAAATCCATGCCCACTCCCTCCCCTCCAACTCCTCCCATATCTCCCCATCACTTTTTTCTGATAACTTCATGTACTCCTTTTTTTTTTTATGGGACTTTTTGCTACTCTAACATTCCTCCCTCTGAAGAGGTAACCCTAAAGTCTTTTAAGGATTCGATAAGAGCTCCCAAATACTTTCAACATTTTCAGCCTTTGGAACAGAGTATGTTGCTAAGAGGCCCAAGGACATTTTGACTTTTAGCGAAGAAGCTGGCTACTTTTCTTTGGGGTATTTTTACACTAACTGCCCAACCAATTCCTACCCTCTATTCTTATCACACCATCCTCTGAAGAGGTTACCCAGCTTGTGGATAGGGAATTGGGATGCAGACCACTCTAGCTTCTTCCATGCTGAACAGGGACACAGGGTGTGGCAACTGGGGTACCCCTTCAGTGGCTCTTTCTATGCACTTTTTTTTTAATTGATTATTTTTATTTTATGTATATTCATATATTGCTGGCATGTATGTAAATATACCTGTATTGTGCAATGCCCAAGGAGATTAGAAGATGCCATTGGAGCCCCTGGAACTGGACTTATAGACAGTTGTTATCTGCCATGTGGGTGCTGGGATTTGAACCCAGGTCTTCTGCAAGAACAGCTAGTGTTCTTAACTGCTGAGCCATCTCTCCAGCCCCTAGCTTCTGTACTTTCTTTAAATGATCATAATCACTGATAGATACTGAACTTTTTCTAGGTGCCAGGTGCTGCTCTAAGCTCCTTAGCTCTCTTACTGCGTTCAGTCCTTACAGCAGCCTTGAGAAATGTGCACTGTCATCATCTCCTTTTAGACAGGAGGACACTGAGACCTAGGGAGTTTAGGTCACCTTCCCAAGCTGTCTGGCCTGAAAGCCTTCAGTTTTAGTCACTCCAACACCTGATGCCAGCAGGGTGCTTGAAATCTCAGGATATTAAGAAATAGACTGACAACAGCCAAACGGTGATTAGCTATTGTCTGCACATATTGGTTTCTTTTCTTGTTACTGTGCCAAAATACTTGACTAGAGCAACCTAAGGAGGAAATGTTTTATGCAGCCTGAGACCTCAGTCCATGGAATGGTGCCACCCACATTTAGGGTGGGTCTTCCCACCTCAACTAACCCAGAATAGAAATCCCTTACTGAGGCTGGTCTCCTAGTTGATTCTAGGACCAGACAAGTTGACAGTCAATATTGACTGCCACACTACTCAGCTTCCTCTTTGGCCTTGAGGTGGGATCATTCAGTGATGTAAGCGGACCCCAGCCAATGTGACTGGTTTCTATTGGGGGTGAATAGTGGGCTGGGCTGGCTGTGTAACTTTAGCCCATAGCTGGGCCCCTGTGGGTGACTTTCAGACTCTTGCTCCAGTAGCTGCAATCTAGAATTTCTATAATCTTTCAGGACAGAAATAGCAGCCTGCATGCCTTCTCACACCAGTGTTAACCTTGCTGAAGACTAGTGATAAGTGACCAGTGGCCTCTCTTTCTTTATGGAGAAGTAGCATCTATGCATCAGTAGGGGAGCCAGGATTCCCAAAGAGGCTTTCCTCATGATCTATGACCAGTGTTTACTTTAGCTCTGGGGGAGAGCAGGCAGGCATTCAGGGACTGGGGCTGTGTTGCCTTTATGGTTCTCCTCTAAAAAGGTATTTCAGGGAGCTGATGGTGGTCTTCATTCATCTAACTGCTCTAAGAGGAGGAGTTGGAAAGACTATTTTTTGGGGTGCAGGGAACCTCTACAGGTTCATCCTCTTTTCAGGAGAGGAAGCAACGGGCTGACCTCCTGGGGCACCTAACTGGAGAGCTGGAGCGCCTGCGAAGGGCCCATGAGCAAGAGTTAGAGAGTGTGAGGCAGGAGCAGGACCAGCAGCTTGAGGACCTGCGGCGCAGGCACCGGGAGCAGGTGAGTACCTGGGGGTGGGGCTTGAATGCCTTCATGCAGTACAAGAAGTCCTGGGATTGACCCAGGGGTTTGGGGGCAGGAATGGGATCTCCCACTGGCCATGCCTGAACGTCATAGCATCTTTGCCCTTTAATTTTCTGAGCCTCGGAATGTGCCCAGCATTGGAAGGGGTCAGCCATTTGAAGTCTTTGGAGAGGGCAGGTTCATATCTTCTTGTCCTCATTGGGAATCAACAAGCTGTGGCATGCCATGTGTCATGAGGCTGCAGGGGAGTGGTTCGGGGAGGCAAGCCTGAGACAAGCCTAGAGTTTGGGGTGTGGTGAGGTAGATTTGGGATCCCCCCTGTCCTAGTCTGATAACTTTCATCCTTTTTATACCTGTAACTTTCTCTCCACTGTACTTCTGGGCAGGAAAGGAAATTTCAAGATTTAGAAGTGGAACTTGCAACTAGAACTAAAGATGTCAAGGCTAGGCTGACTCAGCTGGCTGCTCAGGTGAGGGATGGGGATGAATGCTATCTACCCTGCCTTGGCAGGGAGGGGGCTCAAACACAGAGTTTACCCTTCCATCAGAGGGCAGGCCCTGCCCCAACCTTGGGACCTGCAGTCACCCCAGGGCCCATCTCCCTTCAGGAGGAGACTGTGTGGAAGGAAAAGCAGCAACTCCTGGATGCGCAGAGGCAGGCTGCCCTGGAGAGGGAGGTCTGTCTATCCACCTCATCTCATGTTTATCTCCCGTTGTCTGTTTACCTGCCCTGTCCAGGGTACCGGGTTCCAAACTATAAATCATGTCATCCGGTGCACCTGACTTGGGAGCTAGGGAGTGGAGCTGTAATTGGTGGGAGATTGGGAGCCTGCATACCCCAGATCCCAGACAGTGACTTCAGTGGCTCTGGCTTCCAAACCCTGTTTCGTTTTTTTCTGGCTTTCCTACCCTCTGATGCTGCCTGTACCCAACCTTCTCCCCACTGGGTCTGTGGGTGCTCCTGTCTTCCCCTCCACCTCAGGAAGCCACAGCCACTCATCAGCATCTGGAAGAAGCAAGGAAGGAGCACACCCACCTGGTGGAGTCAAAGCGGCAGCTTCGAAGGGTTATCAGTGACCTGCGTGTCCGGAAGGTAGAGCTGGAGTCCCAGGTGGATCTGCTGCAGGCACACAGTCAGAGGCTGCAGAAACTCGTGAGGTAGTGTGGGCACCTTGCCCCTGGTCGAAGGTCACCTCTTCCTCCTGCCCTCTGCTCTCTGTTGCTCTTGGGCCCTGTCTCATCCTGGCCCCCAACAGGGAGAGGAAGCCCAACTTGGAATCCACACAGAAGCAGCCTGTCTGTGTCTGCCCTCCTTTGAATGGGGTGCTGAGACTATGAGAAACGGGGCATTTCTCGTTCTGGTATTCATGCCTCAGACCTGCCCTGTGGGAGTGAGGGCATGTATCTGACTCACAGCCCTGCCTCCAGCTCCCTTCCTCACTACAGCAGCCTAGAGGCCGAAGTTCAGAGGAAGCAGGAGATCTTGAAAGAGCTGGAAGACAGTAATGCTTCCCCACGTTTGGAGCCAAATCTCCACATTGAGGACCTGAGGAAATCCCTTGGGACAGTGAGCTGGGGGCTGATGCTTGGGAAGTGGCACTGGGGGTTGTGGGTGGGAGGCAGAAGGGTGGGGCACAAGGAGGGGAGCCTGGCTTAGCTTGAATATAGCATCTGGTCTTTTCCTATTCCCCTCCCTTGCTTTCTCCACCACTTGATGGTGCGTGTATATGAAGAATGCCTGGCAGCTGGCAGAGCTGTTTCTTTGGCTAGGATGCTGGGGGGCTTCGAGGTCTCTTGAGCCTTCAGAATGTTTGTTTTTGTTGCACTTAGCTAGCCTTTTCTACCATATGTTCATAGAATGAGCCTCAAGAGGTGTCCTCTTCTGTTTCCCAGAGCAAGGAGGAAATCGACTTGTCCATAGACAGGTGAGTTCCCCCAGCCTGTCTTGTGCCATGAAGGCCGAGCTGAGGTGATAGTGACCATCAATAGGGCTTGGTTTTGGCGAGGGGCCCAGGGATAGAGGATTCTTTACCAAGCTAAGGCCCTGTCTTTTGTGACCTTTGACACAGCATACTGGCACCTGAAGGCCTGTGGTTAAAGGTCAGACTATTGGGAGTGTCTGGCTATCTGTTTGCAGGCCCCAGGCATAATCCCTTTCAGAGTACATGTTGCATACTTTAAGTATTTAGCAAAGATGCCCTACATACTGTCCAGCCCCAGCCCAGCAGCTCCTATGTGCCCTCAGGTGGGTATGTGCTGGGGAGTGGCCCTGTGCACACCTCAGAATACTCTTCAGTTTTCCTTCTCCACTTCCTCTGCCTGTCCCTGGAACCCCACCACCCCACAGTGTCCGCCACTTCCTCTCTGCTGAGGGCATAGCTGTCCGTAGTGCCAAGGAGTTCTTGGTTCGGCAGACACGCTCCATGCGGAGGCGGCAGACGGCTCTGAAAGCTGCCCAGAAGCACTGGTGCCACGAGCTGGCTAGTGCCCAGGACATGGATGAAGACCTGCCGGGTACCAAGATCCTGGAAAATGTGTGCAAGAACTTGGAAGAGGTCAGGAACCTGGAGGAGGGCCTGTGGGCTTGGGTAGGGAAGTCTGAGGATGCCAGCTCTCCACAGCTGATCATTCTGGGGACTCAGAGGTCACATGGGCCCTGGGGCCACTTACCTTTCTATAGCAGTGCATTGTGTGCAAACACTTGTTTGATCTTCATGTTAATTATATATAGTGAGCATGGTGGTACAGGTTGAGGATCCCTAAGCCCCAAATCCATTCAACCAGTAAAGTCTATCTAGATATTCCAGAATCTGAAACACTTTTTGATGCCAAGCATTTTGGAAGAGGGATTCTCAACATGTATTGTCATTGCCATTTCCTAGATGAAGAGCATGATTGAGGTCTAAAGTATTTTGAACCCAGTGTTCTTTCTACTCTGGTACACTGAAGACTCAGTTTATAAATGAAGATGTTTTGGCTATACTCAGTGTAATGCTGAGAAACTTCCCTGGCTGCTTCTCTGACAGTCTGATTGGCAATGAAAAGGCAGAGACTACATCATTAGTTGGTGTTACAGATTTTTGTACCAGTTGAGGTTTTCTTGGCAGCACGGGCTGTCCTGGATCACATCTGACCCCTTACAATTCTGATGGTGAGGAGTCTACACCCTGTATTTCTAGTTTAGGGGCAGCAGAGGTCCAGAGCCTTGTAGAAACAAGGACAGGTTTCCTAGGGGTATGTATATTCTAACCCCGGGCACTTTTATTGCCTTGCTTTGTCCCTCTCATTGGTGGCAATGATGTTAGTAATAACTAGAGCAGTGATGGTAACCATTGATCAGCAGGAAACATTTGAGAACTTAGTATCTATGGGTATGGTCTTTTGCGTGGAACTTGCTTTCTGTCCTTTGTAGTTCTCATGATGTGATAGAAAGAGCAATTCCTTATTTCTGATGAACAACTGACTGGAGTTAAGTGATTTGTTTAAGACCACCCAGCTAGCAAGTATCAGGGCCTTTACTCCAGCATCTGTGCTCTAACCAGTTTCCTCCCCTTCCTACCCGGCTGCAGGAGACCAGGCACCTGGATGAAAAGAAAGTAACCATGAGGAAAGGCCGTGACCTGCTGAAGAAGAAAGAGGAGAAGCTGAACCAACTAGAATCCTCTCTTCAGGAAGAGGTGTTGCCCTATGGTCACATAGCCCAGTGTGGCCCCTGCCTTTTACTGCACCTGGGATACTTGGTTCTTTAGTCCTGGAATAGAGGGAGCTGGGCCTCTAGGGCTCAGGGTTGATATAGATCTAGACTCCTGGCTGTTGAGATGTCATAGGCATCAGCTGTGTCTGTTGAACACACCTCAGGGGTGGTGTCTATGCTGATGGGCCTGAACACCCATCATAGGTTCATAGAATGGGGACTGACCCGTTCTTCCTTCATGGTTCCAGAAGAGGTGTGACCAGAGTATGGCCAAGAAGACAGGCATCATAGGTGGCCCTACCTTCCCTGAGTGTGTGCGCAGTCCCCTGCACCCCCCAGGCTTAGGTGTAGGAGCAGGGGTGCTTAATGGGGAGATACTGCAGGGCCAGTTTGGGGAGAGGGTGGTAGGGTCCTTCTGGTCCTGGGGGCCCTATAGCCTATTTCACAGGCAGTTGGGCTCTCTTAGCTTGGCCTTGTCACTGAGAAGGTAACCTCTGTATGGTAACCTCTCTTCTCCTAGGGTGCCTGGTAGAGCCTTGGGCCCCAGAAGAACTGACTTACCAGGCCTCAGTCTTCACTCATCACAGGGGCAGGGGGATAGAAAGCACATGGGAGGGGACAGTACTAATAGCTGGCTGCTTTTACCTGTCAGGCCTCTGATGAAGATACTTTGAGGGGATACTCTATCAAGAAGGTGACCTTTGACCTCAGTGACATGGAAGACTTGAGCAGCGAGAGTTCCGAGTCCTGCCCTTTGCCTCACAGTGAGTGGTATTCTGGTGAGGAAGTCAGAGGGAAAGGTGGGGTGAAGCCCAGTGTTGTGGAGAGGGAGCAATGTGGAGACTATGGTCCAGGCCCCTTCCCTTGGCCCTGCAGTGAACCTGTGTCTGGATGAGGTATTCCATCAGTGCAGGGCAGTGATGAAGCTGCCTGAGCGTGCAGCATGCAGGGCCAAGTGGGCTACGGGTTCCTGCAGCCTCTTCTCTCGTAGGGTATCCTCTGCTGTGCTGGCCTGCAGCTAGGCCCAGGACCTTGTTCTTCCTTTTGGTGGCATCCTTGGGCTGCTGCCCTTTCTAGAACACAGAAACTCTGCCATCTACCCTTTGTCCTCTCATAAGGCCCATTTATGGTCTTTAGGAACAGTAGGCTACTCAGGTACTAGCTAGACCTGAGCCCTCATCCTTTCCCATTGTCTGCCTCTTTGCTTTTAGTCACCCCAACCCCAAGCTCTGCTGACCCCAACAAGATCCATTACCTGAGCAGTTCCCTCCAGCGGATCAGCAGTGAGCTAAATGGGGTCCTGAATGTGCTGGGCAGCCTCCACACCCAGCCACCACCACGGTTCCTCAATACCCAGCCACCACCACCACCGCAGCCACTGCTCACCTCCTCAGTACGGTCTTCCAAGAGGATTCCTGACTGTACCTCCCTGACCAGGCTGTCCTCATCCTCTGTCGCACCTTCATCCTCCCAATGGGCCTGGGACCCAGGGCTAGACACCAAGCTCTCCTCCCCCTCACAAACTGTGGATGATTTCCTGCTGGAGAAGTGGCGCAGATACTTTCCCTGTAAGCCTCCTTCTGCCCATGCTCCTCCCCTCTGCTGACTTCTTTCTCAGTCTTCCTTTCTTTTTCCTTTGTCTACCCCTTACCTCTGTCCTCATCTTTGGTCCATTGGCTCTTGTCTGTGGGTCCTTGGGGAAGAAGTCCTTTCTGCTGGTTCTGAAGAGTCTCTGTGTGCTGGTGGGGTGTCTTACAGAGCCTGCATTGCTTGGAGCTTATGTTATCAATTCTAGAGCTTGACAGAGTCTAAAAGGTCATTGTTGTCATTGTCATAACAGCCACCACCAGTGCAGTTATGGAGGCCAGGCAATCACACGTGCGCACATGCCTTCATTTAGTCCTTATGGTAGTTCTCTGAGGTAGTGGCTACATAGTCCCATTTTGTAGATGAGTAAGCTGAGACTCAGAGAGGTTTAGTAATAAGCTCCAGAGCCCTCTTTTTTTTTTTTTTTCTCACTACATGACCCTGGTTGGCCTGGAACTTTCTATTTAGATCAGGCTGGCCTTGAACTCACAGAGATCTGCTGGGATTAAAGGTGTGCCACCACTCCTGTCACACACTGGGTTTTGATCCTATGTTTATAACCCCTTGGATCTGGCTTCTGCTTTTGGGCCCAGTGTCCTTCCTGGTCTCATAGTCCTGTTGAGAAGTGTGAGGCCGTGAAGAGAGTCATTTGAGGGGAAAAAGTAAAATTACAACACAAAATCTATTTATTATTCTTATTATTTTCTTATTTTTTGTGTATGCGTGTATTGCCTGCATGTAGGTAAGTGTACCCATGTTGTGCAATGCCCACGAGGGTCAGAAGAGGCTGTCGGATCCCTTGGGACTGGAGCTATGGACAGTTGTTAGCTGCCATGTGGGTGCTGGGTCTTCTGCAAGACCAACCAGTGTTCTTAACCACCGAGCCATCTCTCTAGCCCCCCAAATCTATTTTTTTTAAAAATAGATTTTATAAAATTTACTTTTTTTTTTTGGTCTTTTTGAGACAGGGTCTCCCTGTAGCCCTAGCTGACTTGGAACTTGCTATGTAGACCAGGCTGGCCTTGAGCTCATAGAGAGTCCACCTGCCTCTGACTCCCAAGTGCTAGGATTAAAAGGCATGTGCCACCACACCTGGTCCCAAAATCTATTTTTAAAATAGATTTTTAAAAATTTACTATTTTTAGGGGCTGGAGAGATGGCTCAGTGGTTAAGAGTACTGATTTCTCTTGTAGAGGACCCGGGTTTGATTCCCAGCACCCACATGGTGGCTATGAACCATCCTTAACTCCAGTTCCAGGGGAATCCAAAGCGTTCTTCTGTCATTGCATGACATGGATACACTCACATACATGCAGGCATAATAAAATATTTTTTTAAATTTACTATTTTTATGTATATGAGTGTATTGGCTGCATGTAAGTGCACCCCTGTTGTGCAGTGCCCACAGAGGTCAAAAGAGGGTGTTGGATCCCCTGGAACTGGAGTTACGGACAGTAGTTAGCTGCCATGTGGGTGCTAGGAACCGAACCCGGGTCCTCTGCAAGAGCAGCCTGGGTTCTTAACCGTTGAGCCATCACTCCAGCCCTAGATTTTTAGAAATAAATAGAACAATTCCTGTGTGTCACCTCTCTCTCACTTTCACATGGAAACTTTCCCTGCTGTTGTATATTTGTTCTGGGGGGCTGTCCTTTTCTGGGGCAGCAGGAGATGCTAGTGAACAGGGAAGGAGATGGCTTGCTCAGGCTGGCCTGGGGCTGACTCAGCTGGCCCATGCTACCCTTGAATTCTGTCTTCCTGCTGCTCTAGCCGGCATCCCATTGCTCAGCAGCTGCCCTCCTCCCCTGGAAAACAAGATGGGCTACACGTCTGTCAGGTAAGTGTATCTGAACTGGGGAGGACCCTCACAGTCAAGCCACTTATTGTACCTCCCTGAGGAGGTAGCCCCTGGGCTGGGTAGGAACAGATCTTACAGTCCTGTTGCCCCAGCAAGTCAGGAGGGTCCCCAGTCCTTGGATTCACTTATATCTTGCCTAAGTCTGAGGCACCCCACCATAGCAAGGGTGAAGTCAGGTCTCTGTTGCTTAGGTCCAGAGGGTACAGAGTATGGTATAGCCAGCCAACTCTATAGGAAACTGCCCTTGGGCACCTATGGAGAAAAGCAAGCCCAAGGTGGGACCTTGCACTTTTCCTATGGACCCTCTGACCTTGGAATCAGCTTGTCTTTGCCATTGAGCTCTTTGTCTGATTCCTATGGCCCTCTTTTCTGAGACCTGCTGAACATTTGGAGTGAGAGGGACACCCCGTGGGGAGAGAGACAGGCAATTATTTAAGCCTGTTACTACCTTCCCATTCATCTTATTTTCTGCCAAATGTACCCCCTCCTTCCACTCCTGGCCCCAATCATAAATCCCTCAACCACCTCTTTGAACCGGCTTGGGAACTGATGTTGGGCAAGTATTTGAGCTGACAGAGGGAGCTCCTTGCTGATAAAATCGGCAGGAATGGGCAAGTATGGGAGTCCAAACTCAGAGCTGAGGAAGGGGGTTGAGGGTGACCACCTTGTTCCCTTTTGGGAACTGAGACTTGCCTTTCTAGAGGGACAGCTTTGAATTGCTGAAGGCCTTACAGGGCTGCTAGTGGTTTGGTGAGAGGAAGAGGGAGAAGGTGCTGTCATGGCAGCTCCTGGCTCTGCTGCACCCTCCCTTTCTGCCTGTTCTCAACTCTTCCCCCTTTCCCAGTGAACAACTCCACCTCCTGCAGCGTCCCCATTCTCGATCACCCAAAGTGGATGGCATCAGCGTTCAGAACATGATTGAGTCTAACCGGAAGTGGTTAAAAAATTTCAGGAATGACCCTAATGTGTATCCTTTTAACTGGTTTCCAAGCCTCAGTCCTGCTGCATTGAAGCAGTCGACTGGCTGAGCTCTGCCACAGGCCTGTGTAGGATCTGAGGAGGATCCTGTTGGGCCTTTGATCCTTTCTTAACACCCACTTGGACATGCTCGGCTTCCATAGTTTTCCTTTACTTTGTGGCCAGACAGCTCTTCTCAGAGCCTAAACCAGGAACCACTTCAAACCTACTGCAGCTGGGCCTGGATGAGGAAAACAGACTGAGCGTGTTTTACTGTTGAGCCCTGTGTAGGGCTACGGCAGCCAACCTCCTCCCCTACACCAAGTGCCTGAGGAGCTAGTTGCCTGGACTTTATTCCCTCTGATAAAACATTGTGTCCTCTGCTGTGTACCCTCACCCAGGCATCACGGGGTGGGCGGTGGGTAGGGGGCAATTTGATGGGCGGAAAACATGATGTAGCTGGAAATAGCTATACACTCTGACTATGGACTGTCCTGGGCTGGAATATATGGACTTTGCCAGTTTCTGCATCAACATGGCACTGAGGAACTGTGGCTGCTCAGGGGCTTCAGGGATGTAGGCACCTTCATGAGGAGGGTGGCATTACAGGAGATGCCTTGGGAGGCTAGGGGAATCCCCTTGGAGGTTCGTCTCCTGGTTTTCAAGCAATGCTTAGGGCTCTCATGATGGTGAGGTTATGGTCCTTCATAAGGACAGCCTCCTAGCCACAGCTATGCATTGGAACCTGGCTCATCTGGTCCTGTACCTGTTTTTCCAATACCTCAGCCTCATAGAGATCAGATGCTTTCCCCCTTTTTTGCCTTCCTTTTTTAATGTCTCCTTTTGACCGTCTCAGGATTGGGCTCTGCTGCCTGAGCCCTGTTGGAAGTTGCTAGAGGCTGGACTCCGGAAGTTCTGCCTCTTTTCTGTCTTTTCCCTCAGCCAGCACTGTGCTTTTCCTTAGGGCTCCCCTCAGAGCACTTTCCCTCCCTGGGCCTCCGCCTTGGAGCCCTCCCTTGCTCTCAGGTCTCAAGTACCTCACTTTTCCAGAAAACCAAAAAGCCATAGGAAAAGACTGGGATGGCTCCTTCCCAGTCTTGTTGTTTTCTCTTCCTATAATGCCCTGAGCCAGGAACCCTGTCTCTATTTGTCTTTCAACTTGGGCCACCCCTGGCTCTTTCCCCCCACTGCCTCTTCCTAGAGCTTGGTGGATGGGGCTGGCTGATGCTTGGCACTGGCCGGGATGAACTTCGGCCAGGTGGAGTCACTGGCACAGTTTCTACAGCCCCACTTCCCATCAGGGGCTCCGCAAGAGTTGCAGGTGATGTTCTCGACATCTGTCTCATTGTTTAAACAAATGCCCTCATTTTTCTTGTCTTGAAAAGTTATGGGCTGCCTTTGCCTCTCTGATCCACAGAAACCAACTTCCATTTTATCGATAGCTCATTTCTTTTCCATGGAATAAGACACTAAAATCTAGATGGATTTTTTTTACCCTCTTAGATGTTTTTTAAGCATCAGCCAAACACACAGAAAAAGTCCGTTTTATTATTTGGTTCATTCTGTGTGCTTTGAGAATAGCTCACACGACAACGACCAACTCTGATGATATGTGTTTTCTGCATCAATTAAATCTCTGCAGATCAATTTTCTACAAATCATTCGTGTGACTGTGTCGTTCTCTTTGAAGGCCTTTGCCTCCTTTCTCCTGAGGAGAGGGGAGTCAGGAAAAATGGGACTATTCATGGAACACCTCCCTGGGTATCTGATTTAATCATCCCAACAGTGTGGAGCTCAGTGTAGGTATTGTCTCTCCATTTTTATGGATGACAGAAGAACAAGGCTCAAAGACTTTTATGAGTGCCTGCGGTCATTGGTAAATGTAGACCCCTGCACCTGGCCTCTTCCTCCAGAGCATCCTTAGCCTTACCCCCACTGCCAGCCTCAGAAAGTGCTCATATTCGCTGTCTTTCCCTTCCTTGCTCATCCTCCTGCTGGCTGGAGACCCATAGTGTTGTTGCCCAAAGGACTGTGGGTATCCTCTACACAGGTAGACAAAAGATATAACACGTTTCCTCAAAGCTGGGTGTGGTGGAGCACACCTCAGTCCCAGCACTTGGGAGGCAGAGGCAGGTTCTGCCTCTGAGTTCAAAGCCAGCCTGGTCTACATAGTGAGTTCTGGGACAGCTGGGGCTACAGGGAGACCCTGTTTCAAAAAGACCAAAAAAAAAAAAAATAAATAAATAAAAATAAGAGCCCCCCCCCTCAAAGTCCTAAGCTGGCAAAGTTAAGTGAGTTATTCCACTTCATTAGGTGAGCAGTCTACATGCAGTCTTGGATTTGTATCAAAGAATAGCTAGAAGCAGCAGCAAACATGGCTGTTTCATGGATTTGTGCATAAAAAAATGAACTGAAAGCATCCAAAAGGACTAGCTGCTTTCTAGGAAGGAAGAAAGGAAGGAGGGAAGGTGGGAGGGAGGAAACGAGCTAACGTTCATTGAATGCTTCTGTGTACTATGTGGTTTTCTTACACTACTGTTTGTAATCTTCATCTTATGAAATCGATATAGATGAGGAAGTTAGGTCCAGAGAGGTTAAATAACTGGGGGCCAAGGTCACAGAGCTAATAACTAGGATTTGAGCCAGATCTACCTGTTCCTGAGAGTCTAGACCTATTGCCCACCACCATGCCAGTGTCCATGCCAGTGTCTGTCAGCAGTTCCAATGGCTTCCAGACTCACAGCCCAGTCTCTAGCAGCTTGGTCTGAGCACCTGGAATCCTGGAACTAGTGACTTCTAGCTGGAGGAAACCTTCCTAAACTAAGGATTACAAAGGGACTTTTTAGGACTGGGCACATAGCTTGGTATAATTTACTTGTCTAGCATCCATGAGGCCTTGGGTTTAGTGCTCCATACAGCCAAAAAAGGGGGTGAGTTGGCTGGGCATGGTGGTGCATACCTTTAATCCCAGTACTCAGGAGGCAGAGGCAGGTGGATCTCTATAAGTTCAAAGCTAGCCTGGTCTTAGGGAGTTCCAGGCCAGCCAGGGCTATACATAGAAACCCTGTCTCTAATTAATTAATTTAAATAAGGAGACTTAAATTGTCCTATTCCCCCCTGCCTCTTGTGAATTTTAAAATCTATCTGGGAAACCAAAGCATACACCCTGGAGCTAGCTGGAAGGGGTTATGAGTCTGGGGTGCTACAAGGAAACACCAAAGGAGATGAGAGTGTTGTTCAGTGGCATAGTGTGGCTTAGCATGCACAGAGCCCTGGATTCAGTCCTTGCGTCTCGCCTCTCCAAATACCATAAACTAGAACTTACAAACAATATTTATTCCTCATACTTCTAGAGACTGGATGTCCAAAATCAAGATTCCAGCTAATTTGGTTTCTGGTGAGGGTTTTCTAGCTGTTCCTGCAGGTGAAAGGGTAAAATGTGGTCTTTTAAGCCCCTTCTAAGGCACTATCCCATTCCTAAGGGCTTCACCTTCATGTCTAATCACATCCCAATGTCCCATCTCCTAACACTGCCACACCAGCACATGCATTGGGGGAGTGGGCACAAATTGTTGAGGCTTCCAAATTATTTATTCACCACACTTGTGCTTTGCAATGGAAGAAACAGCCTACAGAGGCTATGTGGGGCTTCCGGAGAAAACTTAGATTTTTATTAGAGAGAGGAGAGAGAGAGGGAGAGAGAGAGATTGGACTTGGGTCATCAGCCTTGGCAGCAAACATCTTTACCTACTGAGCCATCTTGCTAGCCCTGGAGGAAACTTTAAACCGTTGTTGTTTGAATGGGCTCATACTCACATGGCTCAATATTCAAATGGCTTCAGAGTCACACTATGACCTATGTAGTCCTCCTCCCTGAGCATAGCAAATATTACCAGTTCTTCCTGGAGACTGCAGTTAGGAGAGAAGGCTGCCTATGATTTTCTTCCCTTTCACTTGTAGGACACGGGTCATTCCTAACATAGAATCTGATGAGTTCCCAAAATCATGTTATGAAATGTTTGCTGATTATTCTTTTGTTTTGAGTCAGTGTCTCTCTCTGTAGTCCAGGCTGGCCAACTTACTGTGTAGCCCAAATTGGCCTAAAATTGCCAGGAATCCTCCTGCCTCAGACGCCTAAGTTCTGGGATTACAGGGGTGTGTCACCATGTTCAGGATACTGACATTCTTAGGGCGGGTACTGGAAATTGGAAATGATAGGCTCCTCATATCCCCGACAAACACTTTTACACAAAATAGCTGTATGGGTGTATGGAAATAACCCTGCCCTTAGGATGCTTGCCTTTGGCTCTGCTACCAATAGACTCTCCTGGGCAAGTCCTTTCTGGGCCTGAGTGTTTCCTGGTCAAAGCCTGAATGCAGACTTTAGAGATGAAGAAGGGTGGCTGCCTTCACGTCTCTGAGGGTCTGCCTTAGGTGGGGAATTGCAGAGGGATTCTGGAGAACCACAATAGGCTCAGGTGGGGAGGGTGCTGGAAAGGGACTGCTGGTCTCAACAGCTTTGGGGGCAGTAGATGTGGATATAATGGTTGAAAACTGGAGGGCCTGTCATGGCTGTGTCTCACTGAATTGGAAAGCACTTGTTCCTGTTTTCTCTAGTAACTTTTCCCACCTCCTCCCCAGTGGAACTAGCAGTTGGGTGTGTCACCCCGAAAGCCAAATAAAGGCCACCTTGATGCTGTAGGTCTCCCTTGACATTTGCCCTCAGTTTGAACACAGAATACATTTTTGCTTTTCCATTCATTCTTATAAAGGCTGTGGTTCCCAAGGCCCAGCACCTACACTAGCCATGACCTTGTTTCCAGTGAGTCCATTGAAATGGAGCCTTAGTTTATAGGAGACATGACATGTCAGGGTCACTCTGCGTGAGGAATAGAAAGGTGCTGGTCAGAGAGATGGCAGACATTTGTAAATGTGACTCTGTAACTTAGAATGTACCACTGCATTTTATCAGGTGAGAGGAGACGAAATGACTAGAGATTCTTGTTCAAGCCGTACTTTCTAGGACAGAGAACACACACACACACACACATACACACACGGCAGTAGCACCAGCTCTATCGTGGGTTATGAAGTCTCTTATGCTGGTAGAACCCCGGTTCTTTTGAAAGTCACTTTACGTTGTCCCCATCCTATCACTTTGATGGCTGTTAGTGCTTTAGAATAATGCTTCTTAAACTTTTTCCACTCGTGACCCTGTGTGGGTATATAAAGTAGATAGCAAATCAAACATTTGCTGATAACAAATTATAAAGAAATCTATTTGAAAACAATCCTTTGATGTACATATATGTTTACAGTTTATTAAAGATGAAAGCAAATTTGCATACTAACAAGATGTATGTGCTTGTTTGTCTAACACAATACAGTTCAAAGATATATGTCCTACTTTGCTTTTCTGCTGCTGTGATAAATACCATGACCAAAAGTAGCTTGAGGAGGAAAGGGTTTAATTCATCTTACAGGTCACAGTCCATCACTGAGGGAGGCCAGGGCTCAAGCTCAAGGCAGGAACCTGGAGGTAGGAATTGAAGCAGAAACCACAGAGGAGTGCTGCTAGCTGACTCACTCTCTGGCTATCTCAGCTTGCTTTCCCATAGAGTCAAGGCCCATCTGCCTAGGGATGGTGCCACCCACCATGGACTCTCCTACGTCAATTAAGCATCAAGAAAATGCCCCACAGCCATGCCCAGAGGCCAATGTGATGGAGACATTCCTTCAGTTCAGGTGCCCCCTTCCCAGGTGTGTCAACCTGACAGCCAAGATTAGCCATCACAATATACGAATTTGATGCATGCTGAAGAATGATAAAAGGAAAATATTAGAAGTCTTGGTTTTCTATGACTAAACTGTTATGTTTCTCTAAGAAACATATAGTCATCTCAAGTCTGAGCTGAGATATTTTAGGCAGTGTTTCTTGGCGTCACATGGTGTGATGGCACGTGCACTGCAAAGTGCCAGTGTGTGTTCAGAACTGCTGCCGCAACCTAAGTGAGTGCTGCTGGAAACACCCCAGATTATGTTTGATTTTGAATTAACCTTTAGTCACTGTATATTTAGTAAAACTTTACTGTTGCCTCATTTTTCATGACCCCCACATTCAATTATCAAACCCATAAGGAACTATGTTTTAAAAGATTTGTGCAGGGCTAGATGTGGTGGCACACACCTTTAATCCCAGCACTTGGGAGGCAGAGGCAGGTGGATCCCTGTGAAGATGGAGGCCAATCTGTTCTACATATCAAATTTCAGGCCAGCTGGGGCTATGGGGAGACCTTGTCTCGAAAACAACAAAATAAATAAAAATTTGTGGGACCTTTTGTAGGTTATAGGAGGAATCTAGCACCCCCTCCAGGACACAGTCAAAACTGGGACCCCCCCATTTTCCTATCATGCCCTCTTTCAGAGTACCCACTGGGTCCAGTAGCTCTTCTTTCCTTCCCAGGCTCTTGGAGGTTGTGGGTTGATGGGCGTTTCCAACAATGCTCTCCCACCCTCAGGTTGGGTTCCCAGGACAACTGAGAAGCAGGGTGCTTGTTGCAGTGTACCTGTGGAGATGCTGGTGTCAAGCGTGTAATGATGGGCTCCACACAGAGCTTGGACTAGTGGCCATAGTTTGAATGGAAGCAAGGCTGAGGACAC